GTTGGCCTTTTCTTTGACATCAAGAGTATTTGACATTTTTTATTCTCCCTTTAGGGCTTCATCTAGTCCGAGATTACCAAGATGAGCCATCATCTTCTCCCTCCACAGATTGAAGTCGTTCTTCCCATCGAACTTCTCAATGTCAAATTTGATCGTCGACATCTTCAGAGAAAGAATTGAGGCAGTGAGTCAGAATGTTGAACTTCAAGTTGCAAGATCCTCCAATTGGCGGGAGATGCTTTTAAGAAATCGTTTCTTGGGAAGCTCTGATACCAATTTGTAGGAATTTATCCCTGAATATGTACCAAGAACACGAAAACAAGCAACCAGAGAACCGCGAAGAAAAGCAAAACAGAAAACAGAAAATTAAACAGAGAAGGAGACAAGTGATTTACTTGGTTCAGATCCTTGCGGATCCTAATCCAAGGTAGGGATATCTCCCTAGCTCAATCCACTAGTTCGTCAATGAGTATATACCAAAATCCACAGACCATGCAAAGATCATCAGGAACTCTTACAAATATAGCATATCAGTTTCTCACCAAATTCCCAGGAAATAAATGCCCAAGAGCCCCAATTACAAACCCAGAAATTCCTCAGGAATTTCTCTCTCTCAGATCTTTTCCTCTCAATGGTCTGTTACAAAAGTGGTTTTTCTCTTATTGTAAAACTGCTTGACAAACTAGTTTTATATATATATCAAACTCGAGCCGGCCTTTATTTTAATATGATAGTTGTTAGTGCCACGTCACCAAAAACTCCAAGCTGCAGTCTTGAAATCTTGCCGTGTACCTCCAACTAATAAATATCTTCTATTTATTTGCAATCTGAGACACACTTAATTGCAACACATACAAAGTCTAATAGAAGAGAAACCGTCTTTATTATTATAAAACAAAATTGTAAAGACACCGAAAACAAATAATGCATATATGGTGAGAATATCGCAATTATTAAGGCATCGTTCACTTCGCGGATTCGAGTTTTTAATTTGAGTTGAGATATGACATTTGCTGAGAGCTTTTCACTGTAGCAGAAAAAGTTAGACGTGACATTTTCTGAGAGCTTTTTACTGTATAAACCTAAAATTGAAAACTCGAATCGATGAAGTGAACGAGGCCTAAGAATTTAAGACAACTACCAAAAGAAGAACAACCTCATAAACACAGTTAGACGGTTGGCACAAATCTGACCAAATCAACCAAAGGGACCCAAACAAAACAACGCTACAATGAGACAGAGCCAACACCTTAAAAAAAATCCACCATGTAAGCATAGGAGGCCCACCCTCCGTCTCCAGCAAACAATCAATGAGGCAAGCACCCTTCCAACTGCATAACAGGGACCAACTCCAAGGCTCAGATCCACCAAATCTGGTAGATTAGCCCTAAGTGGCACACCCGCGACTCATGAGCACCATTGCCCGGCCACCCAGCCACACACTTCGGCCACTGCTCATAAACAGTGACCGATCCAGGATTTAATTCCAATGAGGGCATAAATAAAACAAAATTTATAAATTTAAAAATAATAATAAAATTTTGTGGAATTGACACTTAAAATTCAATGTAAAATTAATATTACTCCATTTGTTCAATATTGCTCGTTTATCTAAATTGTTTTAATTAATCTATTTTATTAAAAGGGACAATTATAATTAAAAATGTCAATAATAGAAAGGTAGTAATTTTGCACTTTTCCCATTAAACAATAACAAAATGTATGTAAAATTTCTCCATAAATCTAAAAACATAAATTACTGTACATAAAACGTCTTTTTTTTTGAGAAAGAGGAAAATAGGCTAAGATTTGAGATGAATTAAAATTAATAGGTCAATAGTTTACATAAGTTAATAAATAGGCCAAATTATTATTTTCGTCCATAATTTGTCTGGTTATGAACCATAACTTGACAAGTTATTGTACATAAATCACAATTGTTGTCCATAACTTGTCTTGCTATGAACCATAACTTGACAAGTTATTGTCCATAAATCACAATTTTTGTCCATAACTTGTCTGGCTATGAACCATAATTTGACAAGTTATTGTCCATAAATCACAATTTTTGTCCATAACTTGTCTTGCTATGAACCATAACTTGACAAGTTTGTCCGTAACTTATCTGGTTATGAATCATAACTTGACAAGTTATGGCCTATTAATTTATATAACTAAAAGTTAGCCTATATACTTTCTTAAGCTTTTCATATTGGCATATTTTCTACTATTTCCGTTTTTTTCTTAGAAATGTAATAAAACTTCTTGAACCTTAAAAGGTACAAAACAAATATAAGCATACAATTAATAAACACGTTAGATACCTTAGTTAATATGCTTATCATTGTTAATTTTTAAATAACTAATGTTGAGGAACAACCAAATATAATGTGTAAGAAAAGAAATGAAAGAATAAAGTAAGAGAGTGAGGGTGTGTCTAGGGCTGTAATTCAGCCAGGTAGGTTCAGGTTGAGCCGAAAAATTGAGCCGACCCGTTCAGTGCGGGTTGAGAAAATTTTAGGCCGCAACACTCTCTTAAGCCCACAAACCCGCAACCTTTCGGGTGACCTCGGGTAGGCTCAGGTTACTCGGGTTGGTGAAAACCAATTTTAATCTATGACTTCATACCTCTTTTAACAGTCCAAAAGCATAAAATCCATAAACAGTCCATATGCATTAACATAACATCAAACATACTTCTTAACAGTCAATAAAGTTCAGAAATAAAATTAACAATACGTCAAATAAACAGTTCATATAGAGATAGTCTAGCAAAATAGATTTAGGGATTTAGGGTTACACACTTAAATCGGGCCGGTCGGGCAAATCGGGTTCAAAAATACCCACCCCGCCCCCCAACCCGCACAGTGCGGGTTGGAAAGAGTGAGTAAAACAAATGAAAGAAGAAAAATTTGGGAATAGAGGGAGAGAAAGATAATACACAGGTAAACATGAAAAATAACAAGAGGGATGGAACAAGATTTGAAAAGCAGATAAAAATTAAAAAAAGATGACGGGTTCGTTCGTTTCGTCAGTTTGAGTTTTTAATTTAAATTGATAAATTACTTTATGTTAGAGGAAACACTGTTAGTACAAAAGGTTGAATTTGAATTTTTGTTATAAAAAATATTGTATGTAAGAGGAGTGATAAAAAAAAAAAGATTGTTCATGACTTTATTTAAGAGGAAATACTGTTTATATAAAAAGTTAAATTTAAATTTTTGTATTAAACAAGTTACTGTAACAATATTCAATAAGATATAGAATTCTTCAAACATTCTTCCTGAGCAAGTTTCTTTATAACATGTAATACAAATGCATGCGAATAAGGGTAGACCTTTTTATTTTTTTTTTGGCTTTCCGTAGATTCATTCAATATGCAATATTTTTTTTCTTTGTTTTTATTTTGACAATAATAATGAGGTAAGGCTTTTTATTTTAGTGGGTGTTTTGAAGATTTGTGATTAGAAAATAAATTATTTGCTTAGATTTCTTCACGTGTTCCACAAATATATGTGAATAAATTTCGTTGCTCTTATGTTATTAGGTATTGATGGAAAAATGGATAATGTGGACAGACTCTCTAACTTACCTGATTTTATATTACATCATATATTGTCGTTTCTTCTTAGAAAATATGCAAACAGAGAATGTGTATTGTCTAAAAGATGGAATTCTATTTAGGTGTCCTTTCCTATATTTGATTTTAAAGAAACAAATCATGAGAAATCCTCCGAAGTAATAAATGCTGTGGACAAGTCCTTGAATAGCTTCATTGCGAAGAAATTGCGAATACAAGTTTTGTTACAGTAAAATACTCTCAGAAACAATCATATTTAACTTTTTTGCTACAATAAAAAGTTCTCACATAAAGTCACATCTCAACTTGAATTAAAAACTCAAATCAACGAACTAAACGGGTCTAAGTGGTCCTTAAAGAATTCGATCCTACGTTGTTTTCGACGGTTGATAGATGGATGGCGTTAGTTCTTGATAATGGTGTTTGTGAGATGCTCCTAAATGTCAATACGCGGTCTCCAGTTCCTCCAATTGGATATTATCACTATCATCCTCTGCCTGAAACGGCATTTGTTGTCGGATCAAACGATGTTTCTTCCAACTTTTATTGGAGGGTATTATCATAAGTGAGAATATTATTTGAAATATTGTTCGCAACTGTCCTAACCTTGAGTATTTTTCTCTTTGGGGTTTTCGTGGACCAAAAACTCTTGAGATTTCTAAACTTGAGACAGTTATAGTTGGGATTGCACCTGGACTCGAACTTGGGAGAGTTGATATTGATGGACTAAATCTTAAAAAAACTCAGGATGCGTTTGGAATTGGTTCCAAAATGATTTTGTTTTTTTGTATGAAACTGAAAATAAAAACGTTTTCGATCTCAGACAGAAATCATTTCTGAAAATTCATTTGGTAGTTTATTAAGAGATTTTTTTTAGTATAAGAAAAACCTGAAATTCCGTTTGGTTATACAATTTTTATTTTTAATTTAAGAGCACTTCGTTAGTTCATTTAAGTCCACACTTATTTGTCAAAAAAAAGTCATCCACCCAAAACTCAAAATGAAAAATAACTTAAATTCGTTTTCAATTTTTAAGTTATTTTACACTAAATTGAAAACTGTCTTTGTTTTCATTTTTTTCACTTTTTTCCTCCAAACGCTTTTCCTCATCAATCCCTACTTTTTTATCTCAAAAAACATGAAAAATTGAAAACGGAACTGATACCAAATACGCTCTCAGTCTCTTGACTTATTACGCCCGAGAATTTCCCCATAACATTAACTTGACTAGCATTAATTTGACTACCTGTCATCATTTGAAGGAACTAGTTTTAAAAAAATTGTGGCGTCACAATGACTCGTTTCATTCTCATCTTTCTAGATTTCCTTTCCTTGAGAAACCTTGAAATTAGTAACTGCCACGTGTTTCGAAGGATTAGGATTTCTGCACAAGGGCTTAAGAGACTTCAACTTCAGGGCTGTGAAACGATTGAGGTGATTGAAATTGATGCTCCAACTCTATTGTCCTTTAGATATAGGGCTTATAACATGCCTGTCTTATTTTCAAAGAACATTCCATGTCCAATGGAAATTACTTGTGCAATATACGACATAGTTGGGCAAGTTTTCAGTTCTTGGTTTCTTGACTTGAAGAATTTCTTGGAGCTTCATCTCAAAGAAAACGCTTGCAGCTAATATTCAATGAGAAAGAGGTATGGTTTGTAGTATCATTATTGTTGTTGCCGGTGTTGTTGTTTCTTGCAATTTTTCCTTTTCTTTTGACACATTACTTGTTTGTGGATTGAAGATTAGTTTTGATCTGGAAGAATTAGGAGAAGATGAAATTTCTCCAGTTGTCCAAGTTGACTATTTAGAGTTGAATTGTGTTTGCTTCAACAACGAACACCCAGATTATGGATCTCTTATAAATGGCCTACTCTGGAGTTGTCATCCAAAGACAATATTTGTTCCATTACGTTCTATGTTCCAAAAACATGTCATAGAGGTATGGTTTTTACCCCTTTTCATATTTTAGCATGTATGTTTGTTGGCAGCTCTTGTGCGATAATAATTTACCTTGAACCAATTGTAGTTATTCCTCAACTTTGAGTTCGCATGGCATGGTGCTTGTGGTCAGAGAGCCAAATACTAAATCCTTTGTGTGTGTGTGTGTGCGCGGGCGCGCGCGTGTACAACATGTTTTACTTTGTCAAGTTAAGGTGAAAATTTAAGGGCTTGTTCTTTTAGAGTTTAACTTGAGTATAATTCTTGAGTTGAATTTGAGTTATAACTTGAGTTGAACTTGTAACTTGAGTTTGTGTTTGGTTGTGTACATTTAAGTTATGGTTTGATATAATAATCTTTTTGAGTTTGTGTTTGAGTGAGTCAAAACTTGAATTTGTATTTAGATAGTATTTTAATAAAAACTCAATGCTAATAAAAAATTTTAATAGGGTATATGGGTCGGGTTTTATTCGTCTTTTCGTTGTCAACATATAGAAAAAAAATAATCTCAATCAGAATTAAAACAAAAAAGTTATAGCATTTTTAAGAATAGAAAAAATATTGTTCATTAATTTGAGTTCGAGTTTCTGAACTCGAGTTGAAGGGGAAACTTGAACTCGAGTTTTAGTCATAAACTCGAGTTTGAACTCAAGTTTAAACTCGAGTTTAAACTTAAAAGAACATGAACTCGAATAAAGTTGTAACTCGAGTTACTTTTTTTTGAGTTTTTCACTCAAAAGAACAAGCCCTAAATGCTTTCAGGGAATTGGAAGAATTACCGAGATTTTTTAGTTTTGTTAATAGCATTTTCTTTAGTTTGCGATCAGATTTTGTACTGTTAAGTTCTTAAACATCTGCTTTTGTTTGCGGATTTTGGCATGAAAGTTTCTCGCTTTGAGGATTTTAGTGGATATCTTATAGATTTAGTGTCTTCCCGCTTTTGCTAAGAAGTTAATGAAGTTATGTGCTCTATGTCTTGGGCGACTTATGACCTTTGAAACTACCCAACATGATCTATCTGAATGAAGGAGTTCTGCCAAATTGAGATGCTATATTATAAATCTCAACAGGATCACAAAGTGAGGATATTGAAAAACTCCGCTCCTAATATATGACAATAATGTTTGTTCTTGTTTGTTATGCGTTATTAGTTGTTTTGTTAAGATGGATCGGAGACTAACAGATGTTGTTGTTCTTTTAAATGTCATTCGAGACTAGTTTAAGTGGTTGGGTGCGTGAATGTGTGTATGTGTCCGCAAGGAGCGTATATTAAAAAAAAAAGATTAAATTCTTTGGAATTATTAATTGCTGTGGAAGTCGGAAATTTTTAGACTTCCCTAACTCCAAAATGTTTAATATCATACATCTTGTATTTCTGTATACAGGTTCGTCATGAATCAAGAGGAGCAACTGCGAAGATTGAGATGTTCAGAGGCATTAGAGGTGCTCGGCTGGTAGATTGCAAACATTTGTTAGATATATTGCCATCTCTTACAAAAAGATCATCAAGTACGCTTTAACTTGAAGTGGGATTTTCGAAATCGACAGGGGTGACCTATACTATCTTAGAGCATAGTTATGTATTGAGCTTGTAAGATTTTTATTTGGTGTTCATTAATGCTTGCTCACGAAACCTTGTTTAGGCTATTACTTGATTATGATACGTAACACTTTAAAAGATATGCGTGTGTGTAGTTGCTAGACTTTCACATTCACTTTTCTTCGCATTTCTCCACTCTTCGAATCCGTTTGGTTCATGGATTAGAATCATGTGATTAGAATCATTTTTTATTTACGTGTATTTTTTGTGAGAGAAAATATTGTAGCGAACCACGAATCATGATTCGAATCAGGGAACAAATCCCTCTACCAAACATCACCGAATCATTCTTTTCGGTTCTTAAACGCTCGCATTTCTTGTTCATTTTTCTAACCTGCATTTCTCTATTCTTCTACTTCTTGCTTCAGGGTAATTTTCCGATATACATGTCTTCTGCTTTCTTATATACTAGTTGACGTGTATTAAGTTTAATTACCGTGTTATTAATAAAAATATATAAAAGCCTAAAAAGAAACTAAAATAAAAAAATAATAATAAGTTTTAGGGCAAGTAGGTTAAAAAAAAGGAAAAAATGACTAAAATGAAAAGAGAGCAAAACCTTGGGGAGAAAAACAAAAACAAAAACAAAAACAAAACTACTAAGGATTGACACTTCTTATATATACACTAGTTGAAGTTCATGTGCAATGTATGTGGAGAGTAATCCGTCTGTTAAATTTTAATGACCGTGTTATTATTAAAAGCATATAAAATTTGAAATAAGAACCAAAATGAAAAAATAAAATTTTTGGGCAAGAGGTTCAAAAAAGATTAAAAAAGAGTACAATGAAGAAATAAATAAATTTCAAAGAAAAAAAAAACCAAAACAAAAAAAGAAATAAATTTGAGCATAGATATAAAGAAAGGATAAGAAATGAGTAAAATGAAGAAATAAATAAATTTTAGAGTAAAAAGAATTAAAAATGGAAAAAAAAAATTCAGAGTAAAAATAAAAAAGGGGTTAAAAGAGAACCAAAATGAGAAGTCTTAAAAAAAAAAAAAAAAAAAAAAAGGGGGAAATGATTCAAAAAAAAAACATTTTTTAACTAAAACGTTGGCGTTAGATAGATATATAGATATATTGCCGTTTTGGTTGAAATGCCCAAACAGTGAAAGCTTTTCTGCTTTCATATAGACAGATTATGAAAAGGAAAAAAAAATTGCTGCAGCTCAAAGCACATTTAAAAAAATAATCGTGTGGGAAAGTCGAGGACAGGAGTAACTTTAATAGGAATAGCCTGCCTTCGGAACCCCTTATGAATACTATCTCGTTAGCAAAGCCGAAGTGGAATCAAAGTGCGAAAGGGAAAACTAACGTATAAAAATCAACGTACAGAGAGAGATCTGATCGAGTTGTATTTGTAGTTAACTAAAACAGAGGTAAACCTTCTCTCGTTTTTTTTTTTTTTTTTTTTTGTTTTTTTTTTTTTTTGTTTTCTTCCCTTAGATTCGTTCAAAATGCATATTTTGCTTTTATTTTGATATTGTTAATGTTAATCAGGTAAAACCTGTTTATTTTAGTGGGATGTTTTGGAGATTTGTGATTAGAAAAGAAATTATTTGCTTAGATTTTCTGACCTGTATAACACAAATATATGTGAATAAATGTCGTTGGTCTTATGTTTTTAGGTATGGACAGAGAAAAGGATAAGGTGGACAGATTCTCTAACTTACCTGACTTTATATTGCATCATATATTGTCGTTTCTTCCTAGAAATGATGCAAACAGAAAGTGTGTATTGTCTAAAAGATGGTATTCTATTTGGGAGTCCTTTCCCATATTTGATTTTGAAGAAAGAGATCCTGATAAAGCCTCCGGACTAATGAACGTTGTGGAGAAGTCCTTGAATTGTTTCATCGAGAAGAAATTGCGAATGCAGAGATTTCGTCTCTTCGTGATCCTTCGTGATCATCAGTTGTTTTCGATGATTGACAGATGGATGGCGTTAGTTCTTGATCATGGTGTTCGTGAGATGCTCCTAAATGTCAATGTGCATTCTGGAGGTTTATTTAGATATGATCATTTTTATCCTCTGCCTGGAACAGCGTTTGTCACAGTTTCTTCCAAGTTTTATTCTCTTCAGAAGCTAAAAATGGATGGTATTATTATAAGCGAAAATATTATGCGAAACATTGTCCGTAACTGTCCTAACCTTGAGTATTTTTTTCTTTGGGGTTTTCGTGGACTGAAAACCCTTGAGATTTCTAAACTTGATAAACTTGCTATAGTTATAATTGGGGTTCGAAGCAATGGTGGAGGCGAACTTGAGAGAGTTTATATTGATGCACCAAATCTTAAAAAATTCAGTCTGAAGACTTATTACGCAAGAGAACTACCTCGGAATATTAACTTGACTGGAATTAATTTGACATCCTGTCATCTCCTAAAGACACTACATTTAAGTAAATGTGGCATCACGGATGACTCGTTTCATTCGCATCTTTCTAGATTTTCCCTCCTTGAGGACCTTGAAATTAGTGATTGCCGCATGTTGCGAAGGATTAAGATTTCCGTGCAACGACTTAAGGGACTTCGACTTGGGGGCTGTGAAAAGATTGAAATGATTGAAATTGATGCTCCAATTCTATCTTCTTTTAGATACAAGGCTTGTAACATGCCTGTCTTATTTTCGAAGAACATTCCATGTCCAATGGAAATCAGTTATTCAATGCACACCAGAGGCAGGCAAGTTATCAGTTCTTGGTTTCTTGACTTAAGGAAATTTCTTGGAGCTTCACCTCAAAGAAAACACTTTAAGCTAATGCACAATGAGAGCGAGGTATGGTTAGTAGTATTATTATTTGCTGTTGTCAATGTTATAGTTTCTTGCAATTTCTATTTTTCTTGTGACACATTACCGGTTTGTGGATTGAAGGTTAGTTTTGATCTTGAAGAATTAGAAGAAGTTGAGATTTCACCGGTGTTCCAAGTTGACTATTTAGAGCTAGTTTCTTATAGCTTAAAAGAGGACCTAGATTGTGGATCTCTTATAGATGGTCTACTCTGGAGTTGTCATCCAAAGACGATATTTGTTCCGTCGGACTCTGTGTTCCTAATAAATTGCATAAAGGTCTGGTTTTTGCCCTTTTGCATATTTTAGGATGTATGTTTGTTGGCAGCTCTTATGTTATAGATAATTACCTTGAATGGATAGTAGTTATTCTCAACTTGTGTTGGTGCTTGTGGCCAAAGAGACAAATATTAACTTAATTCTCTCTCTCACACTCACACACCTTAAATGGATTGAACTGCTATGTTGTGTGAAACAGGTTTTACTTTGTTAAGATAATGTGAAAATTTATATGCTTTTAGTGAATTAGATTAACGAAGATTTTTAGTTTTGCTAATGGCATTTTTCTATTGTTGGCAATCATATTTTGTAGTGTTGAAGTTCTCAAACGTCTGATTTTGTCTATGGATGTTGGCATGAACGTTTCTCGCTTTGAGGATTTTTGTGGATATCTTATAAAGTTAGGATTAATTTGGTATTGTTGTGCTATTGAAAATATTTGCAGTAGCCTTGCTGTTAGTCAAAAGTTATTGTGAATGCGTTTTGCTACCTTTTTTTTTTCAAAGATGTCGTGAATACCAGAGGCAGAATTATAAGTGTTTGGTAATCTACGTATAAAATTATTATGGAGATGTATAACGATGAAAATAGACATACTTTATATATACAGATGTATAGTTTTAGTTTTTATTTCTAATTTTGAGGCAACATTCATAATATTTTTTTACACTAATACTAAAAAAAATCTAATTTTAAGTGAGGTGAAAATATTCCTAAAATATGCAATGACACAAACAACTTTAGTTGACATTTCAACTTTTTTTTTTTTTTTTTTTGAAAAAAGATCACAACGACATTATTTGCGTAATAAAATGCTCAAAAACAGAAAAATTTCAATAATAAATAAAGACTAAAGTTACGATTTATTGTTGTTATTTATGAGTTAGTGTCTCCCTGCTTTTGCTTAGTTGTTAATGAAGGTATTTGCTATTTGTCTTAGGCTATATATGACCTTTGATATTACCAGACATGATCTATCTGAATGAACGAGATCTGCAAAATTGAGATATCCTTTATTCTAAATCTCAACAGGATTAGAGATTGAGGATTTTAAAAAACTCAGGCCCTAATATAATGTTATGTATGATTGTTTTTGTTTGTTATGTGGTGTCAGTTGTTTGTTAGAAAGTGGATTGGAGACTAACGGATGATTTTATTGTTTTGAATTTGTAATTGTTGTAGAAGTTGGGAAATTTTTGGACTTCCAGATAGAAACGTTTATTATCATACATATTCCTGTATGTATGTAGGTTCTTTGCGAGAAGCTATTGGACAAGGAACAACCGGAGTGTTGCACTTCTTCTCGCGTCAAATGTTGGCGTCATGAATTAAGAGGTGCAAAGATTGAGATGTTCAGAGGCATTAAAGACGTTCAGGTGCTAGATTTCCCACATTTGTTGGAATCATTGTCATCTCTTACAGAAGATCATCAAGTACACTTTAAGTTGGAGTGGAATTTTTGAAATCTAAACTATTTCAGAGCATCGTTTTGTATTGACGCTGGTAAGATTTTTTTTTTTTTTTTTTTTTTTAAATTTAAATGGGTTATTCACACTAGTGCTTCGTAAACTTTGAAGTTCTTCCCACTGTGCCCCTTCAATTTTGAAAATTCCATTGTTCTCCCACTTTGCCCCTTCTCTTTAGTTTTACATCAAAAACACTAGCAGGGGTGGACCAACGCCACAACCATGTGTTATCTTTTGGTCCGTTTGGTGAACAGATAAGTTTGAGCAGAAATTTAAAATTTATGCACATTTACCTCTTTTAAGTTCAAATTCATTTTGGACTATTAAATAGCCGACTTCTCTCAGCAAGCTCCTAAACCAAGATTCAAAGTCCACGATTACAGCGTAGAACGTGTAAAAATGAAAGAACCGCAACAGTATAGACCAACATTAAATGAAGCAATGGAAGAAAAGTCATAGCTTTCCTACTCTTTCCATTTACGTTTGGTTGGCAAACGAATGATAGCCTATATATATATGGCTTCTTCAAATATCATCAATCACCGTTTGTTTTTCTTTGCAAGTCCGTTTCAGCCGTTGATTTCTCGAGCCAAGTCCGCATCAAAGATGAATGGATTATTCTTTGTGGGCCAATATTTCCTTCATTTTGCTGAAGCGACTCAGCAGCTTCATCCATGTGGTAGGTTGCCTATGATTTGGCTTACCATATTACATATAGGCTGGTCCAATTAAGCGCATAGCCATGCGTGGCCCACATATAAGAGAGACAGAAGGATTGATAATTCAACTCCCCTTGAAAAAGATCATCACTAGATATCATTCATTTGAAAAACACATATATTAGCTCCCACAACCTAACCACATTCAACTTGTTCTAGCAAAATCTTGACAATTAAATCCCACTATTAAAATGGTCATTAATAGGATATTACACTTGCTAGGGGTCAATAATGATATTCAATTGCACATAGCTTGCCAACATTAGGCACCACTGAATACAACTCAAATTTATAAATTCGTAATTTCTAGACTCTCACTAAAAGAAAAAATAAATAAATAAATAAAGCACACAACCATGACCAACGACTTGAAAAGATCTCTCAAATTGTCTCCATGTAAATAAATAAGTAGCAACTCATTCATTAAAGCTTGCACATTGTGTATGATCCCACTCGTTAGAAGATATGGTCAAGTAGAAAGATTTTTAAAATTAGGGGGATTTGGTCTTGGCATCTTGTGGAGAATGAGATCAAAGCTTTAGAATAAGAAATAATATCCGAAAAGAAGGGGAGTTGAACTTTGTCTGGCCCTCAAAAGACAAGCTAAACACAAATAAAACTTGAAATGTGCACTCTGGATTTCCCCATATCTTCCACCACTTAACATTTGTTATTTTATTCATACATACACAGCAAAGCGTCAAAGCCTCTTAATAAAATGCACCATGCATGCACATGATGCTATACATACAAATTACATCATTACATATACATACAAAGAAAGGTCTTTAGCTAGAGAATACAACCTAGAGCTTGTTTTGTGCACCCAGACAAACTTTGGTGCACTTTAGTTGTGTTGGTGATGATTCATGCCCAATTAACAATTATTACAAATAGCATTATCGGATATTAATGACATCAATTAAACACTAAAAAGCCCATTTTAAAACAAACCAAAAAAATATAGAAAAAATGAAGAATTTACTTTTAAAAATGTATGTGTACATGGACCATTGCTTTTTATTCTTAATAAATATTTGTTTATTAGTGTAATTATTTAACTAAAAATATTATAAATAAAAAATAAAGGTAAAAATCTTAATCATGCATCTTCAAGGATATGTGTGGTATGTGTCCAACCCAAAAACATATTAGCATCATAATGTAATTGTAAGTTATATATCAGACAACATACAAACAAAAACAACTTAAAAGCGCAAAGGATAATGTTACACAGAAATGCTAGAGGGTATTTCATGGCATTAGATTGTGGTATGTGTCATTACTCTACCCCAGAGAGAGAATACTATAATTAACTTTAAACCATTTTTGGCTCTTTCCTTAACCACATCATAGTCTATATTTAGGAAAAAGTACTATAATTAACACCCATTACTTTAGAGAGGGGAAAGGAAAAAAGAAAAAAAAACAAAGAAACAAATTTCAAAGCAAATCAAACTCTCTTCCCTCTCTCTCTTACTGAAAACTTGAACCTGGCGTGTAAATGGCGAGGTCCGGCCACCCATTGCCTCCACCCCAATAGCTCTCCGAATTGCCATTGCTCTGCACTTCCACACCAATGCTCCGACCCGAATCCGAATTCATCTCAGGGCCCGAATTCACGCCCGACCCATTATGGTTCATGCCCTCCAGAAGCCCCCCAAACTGCCCGTTTGAAGTCAGGAGCGAGCTGAAGCTTCCCGGGATGTCGAGCATCCGGCGGTCGTTATCGGCCGGGGAGGCGTAAGAGCGGGCCGGATCGGATTGGAAATCTGGGTTTTGGGTCGAGGAGGTGGTAGAAGAGGAAGATGAAGATCTTTTTGGGTTGGAGGATCTCTTAGCGTTCTTGCGGCTTCCGCCGCCGACGGGGATGTTCCTGAGAGCGCCGCCTTTGGTCCAGTATCTTCGACAATTCTTGCAGAAGTGGCGAGGCTGAGAGAGATTGTAGTTGTTGTAGTAGCAGAATTTGGTGTTTGTGGACTCGCACCTTGGGCATTTCAGCTGTTCCTGTTCTGGGAAATGGGCTTTCATCGGCTGGAATGTTGCTGGGTCTTGCATGTTTGAAAGACTTACTGCTCAACAAAGCTTGTTTTTTGTCACAAGAAAAAATAGTTGCTTTTTTTTTTTAGGGATTTTGTGAGGTGGGTTTGATTCAGATGAGCTGAATTTGACGGTGAAGAGCAAGATAAACTTGAATTCTAAGCACTTCAGGGTGTTAATAGGAAACGGACAAACCCAAGACTAAATTTTGGAGCTTTTTTTAGTGGGAAAGTTGATACTTTCCTGAATATTAGAAATGAAATGGGTTCTGATGGACTGTGAAGTGGCAAAAAGGCAAAACAGAGGCCTAAAAGTGGCCAAAAAGAAAATAAAATAAAATAAAAGGTTGGATATTTTTTCAGGGAAAGGAGTGAGCTTTCATTAAGGAGATGAAATCACAAACACATAAACGTTACTCTTGAAAGCAGATTTCCAAAGTGTCAAAACTTTGCTTAAGTTTTGAGTTCCATGCTTTTGTTCACCATGAGGGGAGGGGAAAAAAAAAAGAGAGCACGAAACCAAAATCAACAAGAAAAGGAAAAGACAGTATTTTGGAGTGAAATTCTTATGAAGGGGATTGGAAGAAAACAGGATTCTTCTTCTCAATTGGGTTTTAACTCCATGGAGATGGAGATGTGAATTCGAGAGAGAAGAGTAAGGAAGCGAAAAGATATTTGGGGTCTGGAAAAACTTGTTCTGGAGAAAGAGATGACCTATCTATTTGTGTGTCCGCGTGAAAGTGACGACCAGACTTCAAATAGAGACAGAAAATAAAAGAAAACCTCTCTCTCTCTCCTCTCTCTCTCTCTCGTAGTCCAAGTGGGAAATAAACTGGACCGGCTTAGCTGCTTCTGGGATTGAGCTTATACAACTTCCACTAATCATATGGTTTAATTAAAAAAAACCATTTTTTTATTGGCAGCATTCTAACAGTAATTATTCTTAGTTCCTCTAGATATATATAATGCCTAACCTTAGGTTGTCTTTTAGGTAGAAGGTCAAAAAGTCAACTTATATGATTAAATTATTGGTGGATTAACGTTAAACATATGATTAATTTGAGAAGTCTAGATATGATTGTAAGAAAAATACTAGTTTAGCTTACTAGTGAAGTTAATATAATGCATGCAAAGAGAGAGTGGAAGTAATTTTATTTGACGTACTCGTGTAGCGCACCCAAAAAAAAAGGAAGAAGAAGAAGAACCTAATGGCAAGTAAAAAGGAAAAAGAAAATTTGAGACCGAAATCTTGCTTTTATTTTATTTTTAAGTCAATATAAGTCATTAGAGGATGAAAAATAGAAAATGATGGCTAGATATTAATAAAATAAAGAATTGTCCACTTTACTTGATGAAAGCTGATTTTTTTAACAAATGATATCCATTTTCAAACCTCATCTAATGTTGAAATTTGAGTTGTAAGTACATGCTCAATATAAAATACACTATAAGTTTGCGTAAAACTTATACTTTGAAAATTAAAAGTTGTCATAATCATAATTCAATACCATTTAAAGACATTATTATGGTTAAAATCAGCACCACAATCATCACAGTATACATGAACAATATTTGGAGAATAGGGTCAACTCGAATCGACTGAAATCAATTGGAGATCTCGTTCATTTCACCGATTTGAGTTTAGAATTCGAGTTTTGCTACAGTAAAAAACTCTTAGAAATAGTCACATCTAACTTTTTTGTTACAGTAAAAAGCTCTCACACAAAGTCACATCTCAACTCGAATTAACAAACTAAACGGACTCTAAATCGACTCAAGACGACTAGAAAAGACTGATGACATGAGAAGTAGGAACCACTACCGATATTTAAGGAAGGAAATTCCTTAGTGGCCACAAAGACTATCTCAGCCAAATCCTACATTAAATGGTCAAATTGGATCAATAATAAACAAGAAATATCTCAATAAACCAATATGGAAACAAGGAAAGGGAAAGTTAACAGAAGGAAAAGGAAAACTATCTAATCTGAGAAAAAAAGAAACTAGAATGCTATCTCTTATAAATAGGAAATGAGAATCACGACCAAAACATTCTAGACTCCTCATATTATGCTCAGACTCTCTCTCTTTCCCCTCCTTCTTCTCCACTTCTCACACAAAACATTGTAATTGTACTATTTTTATTACATAGTGAAACCCCCAAAACCTAATGTATCATGAGATTATTAAGAGAACTATTATACATCCGTGTGTCAATTTATTTTTTAGCATTTTACATTCTCATTCTAGTGATATATCTACTCAAATCGATTCGAATCGACTTACTAACGCGATCGACTCCTCAAAGCGGTCATTGACCCTTTCAATAAATTATAGAATCTGACTTCTACAGATTGTATTATAGAACATCTTACCTGATAAATTATGTTTTTATAAAAGTTTTATGATGTTCAACGTACATATATGATATACCGATTCTTACTAAAAACAAAAACAAAAACAAAAAAGGAAAGAAAGAAACGTACATATACTAATTAAACAAATCAAATACAGATGAGCTTATTTGAAAAAACAAATTAAAATAAAAGACAAAATATTCCTTGCAGCAAAACCATTTAATAAAGTATCTAACTCAAAGTAAATTCACTTCGTGAGAAAATTATTAAACTAAATACTACGTACATTTTTATTAACTACACAATAATTCCCGCTTTTAGAGCAATTAATTTTGTTGGTTTTTTTTACTAGTAGTGAAATTGTTTGCTACATTTCTCGTCAAAGAAATTCGGTAGCTCACTTCTTAGCAAACTATGCTTATTCTCAAGTTGAAGTCCTGGTTGTGGCTAGATTTTATGCATATTCTTCTGGGTAGTTATGTAAAGACTCAAATTACATGTTTAATTTTTGACGTTTTAGTTAGTGTTTAACCACTCATATTATAACACGTCATTTAATAGACTTAAAAAATTAAATTATTAAAAAGTTAGTTAAAAAATATTTTAAATATTTTAAATAATGTGATACAATTCGATTGGTTAGACACTAATTAAGACACTGTAATTAGATATGTGATTTGAATCCGTAATGTAACAGTCGATGTTATTACAATGAATAAATAAAACTGAGTTTTCATTAAAAAAAAACATTTAATGACCTTGTATAATAGTAGATCCTAGCTAATAAAGTATAATTTAGATGAAGTTCTATGATCATCAACGTACATATACCAAATAAAAAGGGACGTATACCATGTAACCAAATGACATACAAATGATCTTATTAAAAATGGAAAAACAAACATTCCTCGCAACACAACCATTTAATAAAGTATCTCACTCAAAGTAAATTACAAAAATTAATTCTTTACAGAAAAAAAGTTATTAAACTAATAAGTATGTCCATTGTATAAACTACACAATCATTCCTGTTGTTAGTGCATTTCGGCATGTGATAATTGAATTTTTTTTTTAAAAATGTCCCTAACTTTATTTTCTAGATAACAAAATTGCTAAAGAGAAAACGACAAAATAGATATAAAACAAAAGAAAGCTAAAAGCTCGGCTGAGGTTTGAACTCGAGAGCCGACCATTGACAACGTTTTTAATATGAGATTTAAGCCAAAAATTACAAAATTAAGCCAAGCTGATGAGCCGAATCGGCTAAAAAGCCGAGAAGCAAAGCTTGCGTGCAAACAAAGCAAGTGCCACCAGGGACATCGTAATTACGATTTGATTAGCAAATCAGGACCGTCAAATATTTCCGTTTGAAAACATCAGGACCGTCAAGGTGTCTCTTTATTATGATCATCAAGGATTAAAGGAAAAGGAAATCGTAGCGTTGAGTGCCAGTCACCGGTAGCCAGTGTCACCCGCGACACGTGGCGGAACCCCGAGGAGTCGCATGAACACTGTTTCGGTTGCTAGAGTGACAGCTAAATTTGTTTTGTGGAGAAGAAGAAAAATGCTTCAGGTTTACTGAAGGCGGTGGGTCCCATTTTTTTGTATTTATTTATTAATTTTGGGCAGGATCGGATAAATAATATCTGTCTGATTTCACTGTTTTGGAATTTGTTCCGTACTGTACAAGTTGGAAATTCTGAGTTGCAGGGCCCCCCACAATATGGCAAAATCAAATGTTTTCGACGGCTCTGATCAGATATTCTACGTTACTGTTTCGATTCAACCATTGGTGGTTGACTTTTCTGTGTCTGCCTATAATAATACTCAACACAATTTATTTTTTATCTTAAAAAAACTATTTATTTTGGGTAATTATTTTTTACCGTAGAATTAATTTTTAATGGTTAAATTTATGTAAATTTATATTAAAATTTTATAATGTGTCATATAAAATTACTCGTATTACATATTTGACCGTTAAAAAATTAATTTAACGATAAAATAGTTATTTTATCGATAAAATAAAATAACATGCTCTATAGTAAAGACTAAAAAAAATGACTCGGTTAAAATTTGCATACATGATGACTCGGTTAAAATTTGCATACATGTAATTTCCAATCACAAGTTAATTGAATCCAGTCTCATTACTTATTCTATTGAAGTATCATAAGCTAACTGCATCTGGTCTCATTACTTACTCTATTAAGGTATCACAAGCTAACTAAATTTGGTCTTATTACTTACTCTATTAAGGTATCACAAGCTAACTGAATCTGATCTCATTACTTACTCTATTAAAGTATCACCGTTTATTATATTATGTTAAATTTGTTGTGGAATAGTTTTTCAATTCAGTATTATGATTTTTTTTTTTTGGTGGTTGAAAAGCCTTCTATTTTTTTTTAAGAAAAAAAAGTGCACATTTTATAGTGGGTATTATCTCATAAATAAGAAAGTGAAATCCATAACCCTCAACTAAAATTTTAGGGTCCGTTTAGTTCGCTGATTTGAGTTTTTAATTCGAATTGAAATGTAATTTTATGTGATAGTTTTTTATTATAATAAAAAAATTAAATGTGTCTATTCTAAAAGCTTTTTACAATAACAAAACTCAAATTGATGAAATCAACGAGACCTCAGTAACTCCCTTCTCATGTCATTAAACCAAAAGGTTTTTATCAGGTTGAAAAGCATTCCATTAACAAGAAAGAAAACAACAAAAAAGTTTCCAAAAGAGATATCATTTAAACCAACAAAAATCAAGCCTACTTAATCCGAAACAAAGAAAGAAAATAAATCAAAGGAATACAAACAACACTCTCTACAAACAAACAACGATCAAAAGAGCTCATCGACTCGTGAAATGCTCACATAATTTGAGCATTAAAAGAGTATTATGGATGGTTGCTTCACAGGCACATAATGTGACTAAAATTAATAACTCTAAACAAGAGGAGCTAAAACTCTATACTAACACTAAAATTAACGGGAATGGGCACTTCTACCTTTTTTTTCTTCTTTTTTTACTTTGATTTGTTTCTCCCAATCTAGTGTAACGCCTCGTTCAATTTGTTAATTTGAGTTTTTAATTTAAATTATAATGTGATTTTATGTGAAAATTTTTTACTATAATAAAAAAAATTAGACGAGATTTTTTATAAAAATTTTTAACTGTAATAAAATTAAAATTATTAAAATAAAAGAGGATTAAGTATAATATTAATAGAGTGTTTGGTATAAAAATTTTTATCATAATTTATAATTCACTATAATATTTTTTTTTTATAAAAAATATACATAAATTAAAAATAATTTTAAATCATAATTTTAAATTAATAAATTAAACATCCGCTAAATAATTTTTTAGAAGTAAAGAGTACAGTGATTGCAATCTTGGGCATGAAGATCGGAGGGGTATGGTAATAATTGATGCAATACAAGCAAGAGCACGAGAGGGGATGATGGGATGAGGGGCCAGGTGGGGTCCCACAGAAGAGTGCCTATGCATGAGTGAGGTGGGACCCATTGAGTAGGAGTGGTGTGATTTGATGGTGGGTTTTGGGGGTGTGAAGCCAGGGGGACTGTCATCTCTGTCCAACTCGCATACGACACGTTTCAGATGGCGTGCTCTCCGGTCCTGATTGACGGCCACGCTCTTCACTGTTCTCTTGAAAACTCAGGTTGGATTCCAATTCATTTTCACCTTTCCTTCTTTTCAAATCGAGGTTTTTTTTAGGCTTCATTTAAATTTTTAATTTAAGTTAAAATATAATATTTTTTTAAAGGTTGTTGTAATAAAAAAATTTAGATGTGATATTTTTTAAAAAAATTTTATTATAAAAATTTAAAATTAAAAACTCAAATCGGTGAAATAAATTAAGTTTAAATATAACTATTTATTATTTACAATCACTACCGCATATAACAATTCCCCGTGCAGTTCTCTTCATAGTCTCATATATTTGTTTTTGAAAGAACACCCGTTTAGTTCGCTGATTCGAGTTTTTAATTCGAGTTAAGATGTGATGTTATGTGAGAATTTTTTACTGTAGTAAAAAAGTTAGATGTGACTGTTTTTTAGAGCTTTTTACTGTAACAAAACTCGAATTGAACGGAGCCATATTTACATATTTTGATGGTAAATTTATTTTTTGAATGGCATATGCTTTTTAACGTTAAATTTAGCCAAATTTTTAATAAAAATAGTAGATACACAAAACTCACAGAATGTAATATAATATAGATGTAATGATTTAAAATGGAACCATACCAATAGGATGTCTTTGCATACCTATCATAGAATTATCATGTCTTTATCTATCTCTATACATGTAACAATTTGATATGTAATTATCTACATAACCAGATATCAAAGCTATTATTAGACAATTTGTTCCATTATAACATTTATATGTGTACTAATTCTGTATCTCTAGTAATAATTTGTAATAGTGCTCTTGGAGATTTGAGTAATAGAAGCCTAATAGAATTGTCGGTTTAAATTAGATAGCTTTACCGAACTTTCTAGATTATTAACATACAGCTCGCATATGTGTGTGTATATATAGAATATATATATATATATATATATATATATATATATATATATATATATATGTGGTAATATAATATAGATGTAATGATTTAAAATGGAACCATACCAATAGGATGTCTTTGCATACCTATCATAGAATTATCATGTCTTTATCTATCTCTATACATGTAACAATTTGATATGTAATTATCTACATAACCAGATATCAAAGCTATTATTAGACAATTTGTTCCATTATAACATTTATATGTGTACTAATTCTGTATCTCTAGTAATAATTTGTAATAGTGCTCTTGGAGATTTGAGTAATAGAAGCCTAATAGAATTGTCGGTTTAAATTAGATAGCTTTACCGAACTTTCTAGATTATTAACATACAGCTCGCATATGTGTGTGTATATATAGAATATATATATATATATATATATATATGAATACATATATATATGTGCGTGTTGAACTTTGTGTTAGTGCGTGCACTATGTACAATTCTACAATCAACAAGCAGAAAAGATTGAACAACTAACAACCATCATTATTAGAAACAATTTCCTATTCATACACATTATGGTCTTCCAAGTGCTTTCACGCCTTTTTTTTTTCTTTTTGTCCTGAAGTTGGCAATGGAATCGTTGTTCATTAGCCATAAAGGGATAAAAACTTAAGACTCTAATATTACTAGGCACATAACACCCATGTCTTATCAAGGAAAGGAACAGAAACGGTCGTACTTAGAATTGGATTCATTTCACATCCTTTTCCTACCAGTTGACCCAATAAAAAACCCCAAAAATTTCTAAACCATCGTTGACTTTGCAAAAAATTGCATTTATGCTTTGAGCTAGACTCGTTTTTTGTCCAAAACTGCAAATTGCATCTTGCGCTTCATGAGAACAATCTTTCTTGCTAGAAACAAAAGAAAAAAGTCATGACTTTCCATGTTATGCTTGGTCAGCATTCCAAAATACTAATAAAAGAACTTGCTGCTTTTGTTTTGTTTTGTTTTATTTGCTTTTTTTTAACTTAACCCAACTTAATTCTAAATGCTAACAGTTTATGGCACAAGGGTATCGCTTCATCATTGCAATCTGCTTTAAGAGAACAGGAAACCACTTAAATGCACATAAGACAATCTATAGTATGGTTAAAAAAAAAAAAAAAAAAAAAAAGGACCTAGATCTCTGTTTTCAACTGTTACTTCTGTATAAAAATCTACTTTTATTTTATTTTCATCGTATTTAACGTTGGAAAGTATATACAGCTGGTAATAAAAACTCCATGCACATAAGTGACATCTCATTATAACACGTCTGGGGCCTTTTATGCAACCAAAGCAATGAGACGAAATAACAGTTGTTGAAAAATGCATGCCCTGAGGCACTGCAGCTCCAAATGACAAACCTAGCTCTTTCATTACATTTTAGAGAAGACAGCACCCAATGCTTCACCTACGGATTCATCTAAAATTGGTTTGTGGGACCCCTTAATAATCATACTTTTCCTTCTCTCAAACACTGTTTGAGAAAATCGGTTTCTAACTCAAGACAACTTGCATTAAGCAATTCCAATGAAAGATTGTCCTCAAGAAGAGAATAATCCTGAAAAATAGATGGTATTCTTTATTCCTCTTAGTTTCTTCACCGTTGGTCATTATTCATGGCTAGTGAATTTTGAGGTGCTTATTTTCCTCCTCTACTTTTATATTCTCAAAATCTTATTTCAGTTGTCTACTCACACCCCCATGCAGATTATTAGATTCCTCAAAGCTAATGATATTTCTCGAATAATGCATTTGAGTGATGCACAGTAATGCCATATGTGTTTTGGGAAAAAAAACAAAAAAAAAAAAAAAAACAAACAGTTAATAGGTCAAACAATATTCATGGAAGTATTCAACAACCATACGTAAGAACCTTATTCCTTTGGTCTCACTATGTCGGTAGATTCCAATAACAATCCCCATCAGCATTTGTGAGAGGCATAAATAAAACTTACTCATGAAATTTCCAAATTGCTTGTGGACCCTTGCTAGTGCTCGCAAAGCATCTTTTCTTGCAAAAGCAAATGGATGTGATAAAGGTAAAAGAGTTTAAGGACCGTAGGACCAGAAAAATGAAACTATCAATAGTTTTGTTTTTTTAGCTGTTAGATTTGTATTAGAAATTATGTGTTATGTATACATTTTCAATATGATTTGATTTTTACCGGATTTAACAGTAAAAAAAACTAGTCTTACCTGTAAAACGGCCAACCGAAGACACTCAAAAATTATAAAATATGCCATCAATCTGAAGTAAGAAAGTAATAAAGGTTGTGATAAAAACAAAAGATGCCATAGCGCAGGTAAGGGGCTAAAAACCAAACACCATGAGTGATAGCAAATGCAAATAAATGGCTTTCCATAATGCAGAACAACTGTTTTTGAAGCAAATAGAGAAGGAAATATCAGTTCACTTTGGAATATGTTTCTCAGGCTTCTCAGCTGAAACATGATGCAACTGTTTTACTCTAGGAAACAGCAGGTGTATCAAGAATATCCTACTAGGTTACTACTAGGAAACCTGCCATGCCACAGGAAACGTGAAAATCTATGATTATAATTTGCACTCCGAGCTTTGCCGAAAAACTTGTGTGCATCAAAATCACAAACCAGAAATGAATTAACAAATAAGAAGAGAAGTTTCAAAACTTGGTAGATAGCTATCTACTCTCTAAACCAGAAAACATTACGATATTTTTGAAAACTGCAAAAGGTGCGAGACTAAGTGAAGACACAAAAGTATGTTTCAAACATGCATTTTCAAGAGAGAATGAGTGAAAAAGGTAAACAGATACGAAAATTTTGATAACTAATACTTCATATTGAACTTCCTATCCTTTTTCTCCCCGTGAGTGAGTACAAAGACAACTCTGTGACACTGTGACTCTGTCCGTCTTTATCACTAAGCATTCTACAAACAAAATAGTGAGTTCAAAATTTCAGATACGCACATAATTCAAGAGTTAGGAAGTGAGATCAAAATTATCCAAAACATACATCAGAAAGTCGTCAATCATCGTTCGTTGTTTTTTTTTATTTTTATTTTTATTTTTTAAATAAGGTTGAAAGGTTGAAATGGCTCTACCTACTAAACTTGGACTCATTTATTTTCCATAATAGAATCGTTGAAGTTCCAATTTTTTTCCCAAGATTGAAACAAGGGGGGTTTAGGCATACCAACCGCATATCACTTATCCGATATCCAATCTATCTCCCACATTGAAGTCCAAAACTAGCTGCAATCTCTAAATTAATGAATGTGATTGCTAGAATTAAATTATAAACACAACGAATCAAATATACAGGCCTTGAAAGTAGAATCTATCGTATTATTTCCAATATTATCATTTATCATGCAAGAAGAAAAACAAACAAACAAAACCGACAATTCATAAAAGAAATCGACCTTTTACTATACAACACAGTAGAAAAGATTTCACCTTTTACTATACTTCCACACAACCTTAAAACTCTTGAGAGATATGTTACACAAAGGAGGATCTTCACGTGGTCCACCAATGGAGAAAGTCCCTCCTCCTATTAATCTTCTTCTGGAGCTGAAGAATCCCGTAGAGTAAAGCCTCAGCCGTGGGAGGACAACCAGGGACATAAATGTCAACAGGGACAATTCTATCACATCCTCTCACTACAGAGTATGAGTAATGATAATACCCTCCTCCATTTGCGCAACTTCCCATTGATATCACCCAACGTGGCTCTGGCATTTGATCATAAACCCTAAATTCCCAAACTTAAAGAGTCAATTCATTTTTGAGTTCCTAACTATCAAAATTCAAAATTCAAAATTATATCCATGTTTATGTTTACCTTCGTAGAGCTGGAGCCATCTTGTTGGTGAGAGTGCCGGCAACGATCATGACGTCGGACTGCCTTGGGCTGGGCCTGAAGATGATACCGAACCGGTCCAAGTCGTATCTGGACGCTCCTGTGTGCATCATCTCCACCGCGCAGCAAGCCAGGCCAAACGTCATGGGCCAGAGGGACCCCTTCCGGGCCCAATTCACCAGGTCGTCCACCTTCGATATCACATATTCCGCCCCCTTCGACAGCCCCGTCGGCCTCCGCGTCGTCGGAGGACTCGTTCCCTCGTACGGCGCCGGCGATGAAGAAGCGGCGGTTGAGTACGGCGAGGAGGTCGCCGTTATTTGGAACGACGGCGACGACCTGGCCGACGCTATTAACGCCAGTCGCGATCCTGCTCTCTGCAACAGAGCCATAGAGAGTAGAGAGAGATCACAGAGGAGTTGAGAAGTTCTTGGCGGTTTCGAGATAAAGCGGGAAGGACAACCGACATAGAGATGGGCCCCGCAAAGTCTTAACAATTTTTCAGTTCTGCGTGATCGGGTTTGGCTGACCGTTGGATTAGTAGACTTCGAGTGGTCTGACTGAGAAAGGTCACTAACATATTACTAGAAATTTCTGAAATGTGTTTTTCTTTTTGAGAAGATAAATTACAGGAAAATTTTTTGGTGCCGCCTAATGTGTCGGTAAGTGATATTTTTTCAACCGTTAAATTTAAATAATTTTTACATAATTATATACAAATTGAAGATAGTGATTTGATAATGGGCAACGCAAAGCAACGACAATCCAATTTTGGGGGCTAGGAAGAAATTTGAATTTAACATTGGATAGATAGACAAAGCAGTGTTGGCGGAGACTTGGGGATTAACGGTACAAAAGTTGAAGATTATATTCATCTAACATGACCTACAGCCATTATTCATTTGCTTTGACAGAAACTGGAAATCTACAACATATATAAATAAACATTGTTAAAATAATCAAATATCAACCATGACAAAAGAATCAATAAAAAATGATTCATTGCAAGTTTCCACAGCTCCATCCCACCAAGGAACCATTTTTTGAGTAAATTAAACTACATTTTTTTCATCTTAAACCTAGTGGCAAAATATGGAACATCCGTTTAGTATCCTGTTGACTGTTGTAGGAGAGCTACAATCACATTTCCTTGTTGATTTCAACCCAACAGAATTTTCAGACATAAGAATGCATCTTCTTTTTCAGAAGAAGGCATGGGAAAAAGGGAGAGAGAAAAGGGGTAAAAGAAATAACTAGAGAAACTTTTGGGGGGTTGGGGGGAGGGTGGAAGCATGAAGAGACGCTGCCCACCCGGAACAAAATCAGGTCGCTTCGTCCTCGATTCTGAGACAGCCATTTCCTGAACTTTAACATTAAAATCACGTGCTATGAATTCTTTTAAGGGGCACCTTGAAATCTTGAGAGAACTAATGTAGCCTCCTTCAGTGGTTGGTGGGGTAAGGGAAAAGAAGCCTTCTCCGACAGCAACCCAAAAAAGTTAACCCAAGCAAATATACTTTCCTCCTTGGATCATCATTATGCATAGTACATGTACAAGCTATTCGCGGCAGCACAGGCTATTGAGTTTTCGGTAGGGTGCCATGCTAGGTGCAGCAACTTTGTCGTGAAATCGAATGAATTCCCATTCGCATCGACACCAGGGCTTTCTGCTCCTGTTGTGGGATTTTCACATGAGTACGAAATAATGGAGATTGAAGGGATGGTAGAATAAAAAGCGTAAAGAATGAAAAATGTTTACAAAAGCCAACTAAGGGAAGCAAAAGAACTGACCTCGTCTGACGACTCGTGTTATACTACTGCTCAAGGACCTGGCTGGCCTTGAAGGAGTCTGAACTTGTCGCCTGATGGAACAAATACTGTACAAAATTAGGGATATTATATCATAAAATAAAGATTCGAAGTACACTTGTCATTATTACTCTGTCAAATATACCTCATTGGGTTTTTGCTAGCTTCCAAAGTCGTTGCCTCAGTACTTCCTGGGGCACAACTAAATACACGGAAGAGATTGCTGGGAGCACATAAACAAAATGTTAAGATGAATACAATGAACATCGAAAATGATAAAGCAAAAGATGCATCTGCTTCAAAGCAGACCTGTATGAGCCAGTTGCAACTCGTAGTCCATCACCACTCAAACAGCACTCAAACTTATCGAAGATCGAGTCATTTTCATATAAATCACAGAGCTGGTTATATTCAAAAAGATTAAAATCAGTTTAAATACAGAGAAGTAGCAGAAGTTAATGGTTCAGTTTTTGTCCAAAAGTGGGAGAGGCAGTCTCACCTTCGGTCTTAAATATTCATGAACCTGGAAGGTTGCGACAGGACCCGAATCCATGTTGATGTCCCACAACTGACAACCAAATAACCATCAATTCTAAAATTCAGGTATCTTCATTCAAGAGAATCATAATGTTTAGAAGGAATGCAACATCAAAGGAATAATTTTGGAAACAAAAAAACCAAACCTTAAGAGTCATGTAATCACGACTTAGTATGTGTCTCCCATCCTTGCCAAACTTGATGTCTGAAATTGAAGCAATGATCTCTGTGAAAAATGATCTAGAACCAGGTGCCTCCTGTTCCTCAAACCTGTATGGAAAGACATTGCCTGTTAACTTATAAATTGTGTAAGGTCGCTATCTGGTGTGAGATAAAAGTTTTCTGGTTGTCAGGTGCAAGCACACAGGTTCAATATATTGAGAGCTTCAACTTCATATAAAACTCCGAAGGAATAACTGGAACCCACATAAGTGACAGCAATATTGAGTAATGGTTCATATCCTACTAATAAAATTGGAAACAAGAACACTCTGGAAAGAGCATGGATAGAGGCAAAAAAAGGGTTTACTCTCATGCCATTGTTTGTACAGATTAAGAGTTACCACCAATCCCTGCTTTAGTCCTTGGAAACTTTGAACACCAAGTACTTACAATTTAGCATGAGAATCACATAATGCTGATTGTCGTAAATCAATGAGTCGGATTGATCCTTTTGAACTGCTATATGCTAACGTATTACAATGAGTGGGATGGAACTCAGCTGATGTTATCACCTCTGCAAGAACAAACAAAAATATATTTAAGGGTGACATAAAAAGGGATTTGCAATCATGGAAAATAGTCGACCAAATTAGACAAATACAGGATGACCACTAAAAGATTTTCAAGACTTGTAAGAAAACATATAGAGAACCCCAGACATTTCTTTAAATCTCCTCTTTTTAGGTAAAACATAATTGAGAAGCATGTCCGCGTATGCAAGACAAATGAACAGCAGAAACCATGTAAAATCTTAGTTACATAATCTAAGCACCAGAAGGAAATATTCTATAATCGTTTCCAACTTGAATTCCTTAACATAAAAGCAAGCAAGCAAAAGCAAAACTGCAATACAGCCATAAATACAGGAACATCAAGAAACTTACCAGTTAGATCCTCCATGTTTGCAGGCTTCACATCAACAATATTGAAACTTTGATTGCTAATTTCCAAATTCCAAAGATTAATTCGCAAGTCATCAGCCGATATGAAAGTTTCACCATCACTAGAAAATACGAGAGGAGGAGTTATTTAAGTTTTACAGCATGGGCCGGAGGAGGAGAAATAAACAAGATACCATATGAAACTTTAAATTGATATTTCATCATATAACCAGCAAGACTAGAGCAGAAAATTGCAAATACACATTCAATAAAAGAAATGCAACCACCTGTTGTTTGAAATTGAATTAATATGATAGTCATGAGCGTGAGCATAAACCCTTCGACATCTAGCAACCAAGCTGGTTTCTTGGCTAGTTACCTGCATAATGAATAATCTTCAAGGTTAGGGCTGCATTGCAGCGGTAACCTTTGTTAAAAATAATGTCCACATACAGGACAAGATCGTAAAAAGTTCTAAATCATAAAACAAAAAGAATCCAAGCAGCAAAGGGACTAAGACAAGACATGTATATTTGCATGTAGCAGATATATGAAAAAATCTATTTCGCCTAATTGCACCTAAACTACATCCTAATGGCCACTACAAGCACCAACCAATGACTAATGCATTTTTGCTCCTTGGACTAAAAGAGGCATCAAATATGCGCCCTTATAAAATTTGGGCCTAATGGTTCTAGGATGACCTTGCAAATCGCTACCAGCTTATTCAAGGAATGTTCAAACAGGCACAAATTAAGGTTTCAAAACATCCCAAGGACATCCACCAAACAAAAAGAGAGGGGGGGCACAAAAGAGATTAAGTACAACTACCACAGGTAAATGTAATGATGGAATGCCTTCAGACGGAAATGAAAAGTCATTGCTCAGGACACTACTCAATCTGTCAGGGCTCCCACCATTTGCAAGATATGGTTTAGGGCTACTAGAATTACTTGAACTAGCAATGCTGCCATTGCCCACGGCTTTTGAAGGCTCCAGATTGTAGTCAGAGACTTTCTTGACCTTCTTTTCTTGCACCTGTGATAAGCTCATCCATGACAAAACGTGTGAAGGAGTTTACCAACAAATATAGACATGCAAAAAACCATTTATTTATTTTTTTTTTTTTTAAGTATCAAACGATACAATCCATTGTGGAAAGAAATCCAACCAAATAATGTCTCTTTCTATCCAAAGAGCAAGTAAGAGTAAATCATGTGGAGTTAAAAACAAAGACATAAAATTTATCAAACTGCCTGGAAGAAGAAAATAGACATATAGAACATGGGACAAGAGGTTATAGATGGTACCATTTATTGTTCTTCAACATTATTTCTCAACTATACATTCAAATTTCACAAGCTCAAAATCAAAATACAGGAAGTACGGACGACACAAATATTCTGACAAGATTTACATTACTGATTGTTTCAAATAAGGTTCGCAGCTCACTACTTTGCTTAGAATAGCAGCTATTTTTACCACCCCAAGTCATATACGCATGCTACAAAAATATGCACCTACGCAGTAGGTTGTTTATTGCTCTTCCTCAACCAAAGCACAAACATGTCAATCTCCAACACATATCTCTATCGAGCTCCATTTTTATGCAAGTGGAAAGATATCTTGAGATAATAACCGATAAAAATTCAATTTGCAGAGGGAGAAATGAGAAATTTACATATAGTATCAATATAAGTTGACAAATCTATCCAAAAAATATATCTATAAATATATATTGGACTTTTCTAGACTATTATTGTGTCAATGGTTAAAAAAAATACAGGTTTAGGAATATTTTAGGGGCTTCAGCAAGTTTTGAGCTCCTACCTTCCAAAACTTAATTGTTTTGTCATTTGTAGATAGGAGAAACAGGGCGGAATTGGCTGTTTGGCACCATCTTATTTTGTTGATTTTTTCTTCTATCTCCAAACTCTTGAGATAATCAAACTGACAGGGGGAAAAAGAGAAGCAGTGTGCATGTATTAGAGCCAATAAAGCAAAATTGAAAATCGATTAGATTGTTTTACAATATAACAGGCAGGAAAAAGCAAAAGCTAAAAATATATACCTCAGGTTCATGGCTTTGAAACTCCGTTTTATAACGGAACTCGGGATGCCTAGTAATGGGGTAATCGGTTCTCTCTAAATCCCTTCTGGAGTCACCCAGCTGCACCTCATAGAATATCAAGACAATTTAATATTCTGACAAATAACATACAGCAGAATCATATCTTGACACTGATAAACAAGCCTGCAAGGAGAGAAGAAACACACATCTTTTGAGTCTGTCCTCTCAAACAGAACGACACGGCCCCCACGGTCGCCGGTAGCAAGATAGTCACCACTTGTATCAAATTCAATAGCTGAAATAATATCAACTGCAGAAGAGAAAAAGGAACTACAACTGAAAATTTCCATTATAAAAAGAAATGCTATAATGTGTAATGATATTTAACGAGGAGAATATATTTTTTTCCTCTTTCACATTGGCCGCAGAAGATCAACAACTATATAACGTACTATAATTGCTTCCCCTCTTAAATCCGTTCTTTTGACTTCTCTACAGAAGTGGTTTTCAAGTATGATGGAAGAGAAATATACACATCAATGCAAATACAATGTGCCAACTGCCCTGTTAGTTTAAGGCAAGCAGCACCCAAACTGCAAAATGACCTTCTTAGTTCTTTCAACATGCCCATATTAAGCTCTCGCCTTCTATCTTTATGTGTTCTCTACACGGCAAAGAGTCGGAGAATAACAAGTGAAACACCTAAAGAATGGCTTCCTACAATGTACATGTATACCTAACATGAGAATGCCAAATTGGTAAAAAGGAAACAAGCTAACCCGTGTAATGTCATCACCTTTATTCTTTCCCACTTATGTACAATTAGATGGTAACCAGAAAATACCAGCTATCCAATTGTAAAAGGAAAAAAGCCAACAGTTTGGCTATGATTAAAGCTTCAGAATTACAACTAAACAAATTAAACTAACAGAATCTCCTAGACGAAACCAAAGAATGAGAAACAGTAATTGAGATTCGGATCTGCAGTGCACAAATTCAACAAGTAAACACAATCAATTAGGAGACCATAGTCACTAGAGAAGCTTACTTCCATACTGTTTATGGAATCCCAAAAACGACAGAAATGCAATATAAACCTTATATTGACAGCTCGTAATCAATTCCAGAACTAAAAATAACTGTTTTCCCCAAATCAAACCCAGAATCCACCAATCAAAGAGCAAGCAATCACACGACGACCCACAAACCGAGACGTGTAATCCACGATCCAAAACGGATCAAAAACGCCTAAACAAACCCTAATTCCAATATCGAAACAGCACATCAATTGGATCCACAAATTCAGATTATGACGATGATGAAGATAATACCTTCCTGTACTTCTTCGCCGGCCGTTCGCTCGCCGAATACCTGAGAGAATTTCCACTCCAGCGGCTGCGGTGGGCCCGCCGGAGCTGCGACGACCTCATCGCCACCGTTCATTTTCTCCCAACAAAACGAATCAACACTTTTTTCCACAAAAAAAAAAAAAGAAGCACCGCCCCAAAAATCCGACCAATCCAATCACCGCATCGAAGATCGCTTTTCTGGGTTTACAAGATCACGGATTCGTCTGCCCAAAAAACCCATAATATCCAATATAGATACAGAACTAGATAAATAAAAATAAAAATAAATAAATATTCACAATGATGTATGGGTTTTTTCTAATTCAACCATTGGAAACCCAGAAAAATGGCCAACAGGAAACTCTTTTTTTTCTTTTTCTCTTCACTCTCTCTAGAAGGAGAAAATTGGCATTTTAATAATTTTGGGGATTAAAATGGCTGAGCAAACTGTTGTTTCTTTTCTTTGGCTTTGGAGACCCAAAACACACAACACAACACAACACTCACACTTCTTTATCTCTCTAACTCTTGTGTCTCTCTCTTTTTTGTCGAGTTCTTTCTCAATTATGGATTTCTTTTTTTTAATTAATTTTTTATATTTTTTGAGGGGTGATAAACTCACCTTGATAAGTGACGGTTTGATTCGATGAGGTGCTTTGATCGGGGTGTCGTGGCGATGCGGTGGGGAGAGAGCGCTACGATTTGATTGGTGGGTGATAGGAAGGATTTCTGACGGCGGGTAATGGGAAAAATGTAGAGCAAGAAAATAAGGATTTTTTATTTTTATTTTTTTTGCTTTTTTAAGTATTTGTTAAAATGATCGAGGAGTCAAGGAATTGTTGGGAGAGAGAAAGACATTTTTTTCAAAAAAGACATGCATGCCCTTTGATTTTTTTTTTTTTTTGGGGGGGTGAGTTTTCACATTTTCTTTTGTGTCCATAAATTTTGATGAGTATTAAAGTGATTATGGAAAATGCATGTCTATGATCGAAATGGATGCATTATATAGAAATTAGAATACATTATACATCATGGCATTTATGAAAGCGTTTTCGTGAGTTTAGGTGTACAAAATCGATCTCCAACATTTTTGTGTTCAAGAACTCAATCTTGACCTTCTTATCCAATGACTGATGTTATGTTGAATATATATTGTTTCCTTTGACTTCTTCAAATTATGAGAACAATACTTGTGACTTGAAGTTTGTTTTTTTTTTTTTTTTTTTTTTTTTTTTTTTTTTTTGCTCGAAGTGAATTGAAGTTCTCTGTAGAAACCCCACGAACCTTCATTAATCTTCCTTGAAATATTATGCAATCAATTTATTATTAGATTTATAATTATTAACTCTCATTCAAAATATCATATCATAACAAAAAAGCAGATTCGGAGTCATTTCAACATTATGCTAGTCAAGCTCAAAACATTGCTTTTTTTTTTTTTCCCCATCACATTGATGACTTTATTTCTAGGCAACCTAATTTTATTTGAAGAACTTTTTTTTATTTTTTTTTTTGGGATATTGGCTTTCACGGGCCAAGCTTCTGCCACTACCATCGTCTCGACAATGCGACATTTTAAGGGAGAAAACCACAAATGCCACCCAAGAGGTAAAATATGTTGTGTAAAAAATATTATTTATGTCACTCAATTTAAAAATAAACATAAAAATAGACAGTTGTTATTTAATTTATAAAAAGAAAATAAAAAATTATAATAACGTTTAATTATTTAAAATGATATAAAATAATAGGTACTTACGAAATTATAAGAAAGCGTGTATTTTTCTCACATTTTTTTCAACGCTCTGATTGAAGTCGCTCTCAGATATTCTTACTATGGGCGGACGAGGGAAAGAACGACATTAGGATCAAAAGGAGAGGAAAGTATGATTTGGGTTTGAGTCGTTTGAATTTGTTTGACTAATGAGAAAAGCCCAACGAGCTGAGTATTGTGAAAAGCTGAAGTCTATTGTGAGGGGATTGTCTCTAGAAGACATGGGCTTTTTAGACCATTATGTATTTTGGGCTCAAGTAAAAGGGTCCACGGAAAAAAAATCCGTTGGGCCTTTGTTTTTCCAACTTTGCCCAAAGTTACTAGAATGTGAGTGCAATAGATTTGGATCTTGGTTCGGAAAACAGCATGATCCTACTACTGGAAAATTAAGAACTTAAGACTTATAAATACATTAGTATAAATTTTTACTCTTTACTCTTAATTGATATCTTTTTAATTGATATAATATTTAATTAAAAAATTATTAATGAAACATAAAAAGTAAAAGTTAAAACCCATGCAATCAGTAGCGGAGCCAGGATTTTGTTTTAAGGGGCATAAACTAAAAATGTGAAAAATGTTAATAATATCAACACCTAATACTGTTAGCCGGTTGGAACCACGGTTTATACTTATATATTTATCAGTTTATTGCATTTTTTGATACGTGAATTAAAATTTTACAAAGTTTAATTTAAAACGATTTTGAAAAAAAAACAGTGATCATTACTTCAATAAGGGCAGATTAGATAAAAGATATTTACGTAAAAATAGTAATTAAGAGGGTTGTTTGAACAAAAATGCTCAATTAGAGACACATTTAGGAAGTGTATTTTAAAGGATCATTTAAAATTTTCTTGTGAGACTCACTTTTGATATATATAATAAAGATTATATGAAAAAATATATATATTAGAAGGGACAAATTGGAAAAAGAAAAGTTTTAACTAGGGTAAATTAAAGAAAAATAATTCAATTAGAGTACACCAAAAAGTATAAGATTTAATATGAAAAGCTTAAAAGAACAATAAAAAAAGACCAAAAAGCAGGAAAAATATATTTAAATTAGATTTAGTGGAGATATTATGAAATTTTTGTTAATGAATGGGTATTTTTGAAAAAAAAAAAAAACTTTGAAAACCTATGGGGTGAAATTAAAAAACCAAAAATCAAGGGGCATAAGAGGCTATATATGAAAAAACTTGAAAATATATAGGGTGAAAATCAAAAAAATCAAAAATTCAGGGGGCATATGCTGCCCCGCCCCCCCCCTTCTTTTCTGCTACTACTGTTACGTTTTATTTATATTTTAATTTTTTTATTTATGAACAACAAACTAAAAACTTTATATATATCATTGTATTACATTTATATATTATGACAACAAGAGCTTTGATTTATTTAACTAAATAAATTTAAAAGCTCTTGTGCCTTTAAAAAGTTTTTTTTTTCTACATGTTATCCAAACAATAATTAAAGTAATTTGATTTATGCTTCTCATCTTTTATTACTTAAAAGTAAAAGTAAAACCAACCACAAATGAACTCTAAATGGAAGCTCCAATAGTACGACTCGACACCTGCCTTAATTTTCTTAAAACGTCAAGTCATTAGTTCACATTAATTTCTTAATATTTCAAAATATGTAACATGCTATTTATTCTATATGACAATAATATTAGAAAGATGTAAATAATTTTTTTGTTATTATACATCTCGGTCGTGTTTGGTAACTTGTATTGTATAAGATGCATTGTATTGTATTCTATTGTCATAATATAATACAGTGTTTGGTGTCATAACGTATTGCACAAGGGGTCAAAATATAAAATTTTAGAGTAAAAACGTAATTTTTCAAAAATTTTGAGGTCAAAATATAATTTTTAAATGTTTTGAGGTTAATATATATTTTTTAAAAAATTTAGGTCAAAGTGTAATTTTATAATTAGGGTCAAAATGTAATTTTATAAAAAGTGAGAGATCAAAATATAATTTTTAGAAAATATAAATTTGCATTGTGCACCTCAATTTTTAAACAATTATAAGCTGCAACATGACTCTATATCGGTCCAATCCGGACCCTAGTCGTGCCTAATGTCAACATGAATCGTGCATCTGTTATAAAATAATATAATACAATACGTAAAAAATGAACTTATTTAATAATACAACATAAACCGTATTAATTTACCATCCACATTAACTGATACAGTATGATAGTCACACCAAACATTGTACTATTGTATTATTATACAATATAGTACTTTAATACAGTTAGACAAACATGACTCTCATTTATGTATCTATACGGTATAAGATCATGATTTTTTTGAGAAGGACGGGAGAGATACCTACGGGCCTATTTGGTAATGTTTTCAAAATGGTTTTTTTTTCCTAGTAAAAAATGAAAATGAGATTGCTTTAAAAATATTTTTAGAACCGATTCTGAAATTACGTTTGGTGGTCTTTCAAGAGATTGGTTTGAGTATGACAAAAAGTTAAATCGTATTTGGTTACATTTATATTTATTTTGAGTACATGTAATTAATAATCTTAAAATAATATATTAAGTAATTAATATTTGATAATTATTTAGCAAATAAAAATTAATATATTAAGAATATAATAATAATAGATAAATTATTATTAATGAGTACATTAGTAATTAAACTATATATAATAAATTAATATGCTAAATAATTAAAAAATAGTAATTAGTTATTAATTATAAGTAATTACTATGTTTGTAATGTACTCATATTTATTAGATTATAAGTAATTAATTAGTGTATAAAGAAAAATAATTAGTATATACATAATTTATTAATATTCCATTTACTATTTAAATTATTAACTTTTAATTACATAATTAAATAATTAGTTAATTAATTACTAATGTTTATTTAATAATCTATTATTTGATATATCACATGATCAATATTTGAAAATTATTCTTTTTATAATGATTAATTACTAATTATCAATTATTAATTATTATAGATTAGTATATTATAATTTAATATTAATTATTAATTGAGTAATTACTATTTATATTTTATTTACTAATTAATAGATTATAATTAACATAATATATAATTGATACATTAATTATTTATTATTTATTTAATAACTTATTATTACTTGTTTTATTGTTAATATGTTATACAATTAATTTTGGTAATTAATATTTAACTAAATAATTAATTACTATATTATTTGTTTATTAATAAAATTAAAAACTTAATAGTAACAAATTTATATTTAATTAATAATTAAGTAATTACTATCTAGTTATTAGTTATTAAGTATATCTATTTATTCATTATTAATTAATATATAATATAATTAGTCATTAATAATTAATTATTTAATATAACTTTGTTGATAAGTACTAGAAAATGAAAACGGAAAAAGAAAAACAACTTTTAATCGTTTTCTACTTTTTTCATAAAAATCATTCTCATTGTTTTTTGTTTTCGTTTCCGTTTTCAAAACTTTTGTTAAACAAACGCGATTTGTAGACTGTTTTCGTTTTCGTATCTTAAAAGATATACGAAAACATTTTCAAAAACAATTTTAAATACACCCGTTGTATCAGTGTCTAATGGTGCTTAAAAAGTGTTTAATATAATTTTAGCTCGAATTCAGGAAGATGCACTACGGTATAGTTTTCAAGCTCGGACAATACTGGAGAATCGGAGAGCTATTCTTCGAAGGACAACCAAAGTGGTCCTCAAAGTG